TTTGCCCATTTTTTAATAGGATTATTTGTCTTTTTGTTGTAGAGGTGTTGGATTTTCTTGTAGATTATGGAGATTAGACCTTTGTCTGACTAGTACTGTCCAAGAAAGAGCTATTTTTAAATGATGAGCTTTAGGAGAGCAAGCACAAATATAACTCACTAATTTGCCATGTTCAACAAATTATCACTTGGAGGCTGACAAAACTAAGGAAAAGCAGTAGCCATTGGTTAAACAAACCAATTATTGTTGGTTAAGAACAGAAACAAAAGCACTGATTTTTGTTAGAAACCTAATTCATATGAAATGGCAGGTGAACAATGGGCAGAACAAATACCAAGAAATGCCTCTTTCTAGGATGGTCTCTCTAAAGAGCTTCATCCTGCTAAGAGGCATTTCTCATTATTGGTTTTCTAATCCTTGAAGGTAGCCAAGACTTGGAGCTTTCTATGCCAAGACAAGTAGGATAGTGTCTTAGGCTGGATTCTCTAGAGAAGCAAAACCAGTAAAGTGTATAAATGTGTATACATAGATTTATATCAAGGAAATGGCTCATGTGGTTGTAGAGGCTGGAACATCCCAAGTCCGTGGATCAGGATAGAGGCTTCTCCTGATTCACATAGCCGCAGGGGTTGGTAAACCTGAAATCGGCAGGTTGGAGAGCAGGGCTCTTGCTCACAGGCTATGAAGATCAAGGAATCCCAAGATCAGCAGGCAAGACCACAGGTGAGCTGCTGGCTCAAGTCCCAAGAACCAGAGGTCAGACAAACAGGAGCCAGCTGCAGGATCCAGAGTGAGTAAAAGCCCCTGAGCCTTGCCAGAAAGTCCACTTATATTCAGATGCAGGGCACACGCCCAAGGAAACTCCCTTTCAACTGACTGGCTACTCACAGCAGATCCCATCATGGGGGTGATCACATATCAAATCTCAACAGGGAAGTGATACAACATTATACAACTGCTGAAACACTGAGAATCATGGCCCAGCCAAATTGGCACACAATCTTAACCATCACAGATAGCAAAAGTGATTCTTGGGCAAAGGGCTGATTTCAGATTCATTTTGTGACCTTGTGCAAACCACTTGCAAATAAATGGACAGAGAAGCACGTCAACCTCCTCCCCATGGCTCAACCTATGAAATTTTGGTTGATATTTGTTAAACCTTTATTTATAAAGTATTAGGTGACAAATTTTTTCAGATACGCCCCCATGGTGGAAAATGGGTAAATTTGAGTGCAGAGAATTCGTGCTGAGACCCCTGAAATCCTATCACAAGTAACTCCTCCTGCCTACCCACATCTCTTGAAATCTGCTCTCAAAATAATTTGGTATCTGTCAGGTGCAACTTGGTTTGAATTTAACTCAGACTTCCTGAGGCATTTACATTTTAATCCTGCTTTCTAATGGTGGAATGTACGGTGATATTCTCAATTGAAGATTTCAGTTATCAGTGGGCAGGTGATGGTGATGGGAGCTGATGTGCTAGGCAGGGAGAAGGGCAGAGGGCAGAGAGTTCTCCAGGAACAGGAAATTACCCTACATCCATTCGACTCTCTTGACAACAAAGCTGCCCTTTAGGCTGCCACAACAAGCTTCTCATGTCCCTATCAAGACTAGGTTTGGGTTTTTAATGATTAAAATAAAAACTCCCCTATCATTGTATTGTGTCATTGTTTCACTGTCCCCCTTCACTACCTGAGGGGAGTGTGCACCCATACACACACAAAACTTTCTATAGGCCCAGCTGCAGACATGGTCACATGGCCATTTTCCACCAAAACTTCTAGAATAAAATGTATGTAAGTATAAAGGTGCAGAGCCTTTAGATATGCTGCAGCCTTTAGTTGTCTAGGGCAAACCTGGATGGAGAACTGGAGGTGGTTGGGGTGTTGGTGATATTTATTTTCTGAGTAATGATGAAATAATCACAAATCCCAAGAGGGGCACCCCTCAGGGATCTCCCCCAAGAACTAGGTGAGAGTTCCACCACGGCAATTTTCCATCCTTGGTCAGCCCTCTCAGAGTGAGTTCCCAAATCCTCAGCTACTGAAGAGGCAACATCTGCCCATCAGCCTCATCTTTCTTTGCCTCCTTCATACAAGCTTCAGATGTTTTTCCTCTGAGACAGGCAAAGGTTTCTGCTGGTGGATGGAGACCTCTGGTGCTAGAAGCTCTGAGGCTTGATTTTTGAAGGAACTCTCAATGTTGAAAATCCCTGTGGTACCCCAGCCTTAGAAAATATCACTTTGATGTGTAAGTGAGATCGCCCCGTGCCTGGAAAGAGGTCTTCTATCCCTTTTATGAGGTTGGTTGGTGTGACTTCTGGATTTTTTTGTTTTTCCAGCGAATGCTAACAGTGATTATATGGAAGTCTTGCCTTGAAGATAAGGAGATTGGACAAAGCAAGTTAGAGAAGAGATGAAGTGACCCTGCTTCTCCTGTAGGTACAGATCTGGAATGCCAAACTCTTGTGGATAAATTCAGCCTCTCTTGGTCTAGGTAATTGAAGATGTTCTGTCCTCCAGCCTTAGAGATGTCACTCCCCATGTCCCTGCCTCCCAGGCATACAGCATGAGAAGCTTCGAAACCCCTCTCCACCTCTCACTCTTCTTTCATGGAGTGGGATAGCCTGAACCCTGAACCTATTCTTCTCGACTTGTTAAAAGCACTATCATTACATCATGGTTGACACCCTCTTTCCAACTGGGCAATCAGAGGGGCAGCTTTATACAAAGGAGACTGCACTTGGCGGTGAGTTACAAGCCCTGAGTTCCCGTCCTACCTCCATCATTGGCTATGGGACTTCGAACAAACACTTCCCCTCTCTGGGTCTGAGTTTCCTCGCTTATAAAGCAAGTGGCTAGACTAAAGGATACACAACTGTCCCAGCTCTCTGCTGGGCTGGTTTTATCAGGTGGTGTTGGAAAGTCCCAGAGCGATAAAGATGTATACAGGACCAGCCATCACATTCTGTACACCTGCCTGCACTGGTCTCAGTAATCGTGGGAACCCTGACTTTACAGTTCAGCTGATAGAACTCTCACCCACCCTTCTCCCTCAGCCTGCGTTACTGCCCATTCAGCTCTTCTCCTTTTTAATGTCGATCTTCCTGCCGAACATTGCCCTGGAAGCAGTTTCTTCCTGGTTTTGCCTAATTCCACCTCTGCACCAACCACCTCTGCTGCATGGATGGTTCTCTACAGTGATGTATGTGGAGAGTGAAAAAGATATTCTCCTATGTGTGACTCTGGTTCTCCACTAGGTTCTAAGGACAGGCCACCAAAGCAAGGCTGGGACTTCCTGGTATCCTCCACAGTGTATAGAAATGTGTGCTACACAGAGCTTGTGCCCAGGAAAAATTCATGGAAGTTACTCACTGGAAGCCCATTCCTGAAGGATTTGCTGAATTGGTTTCTACGTCCCTTTGAATTTCTCTGCTGGTTCAAAATGTTAACTAAAACCTGGTTAGTTCAGAACGTACCGAATCCTATCTATGCCCTTTCTGTTCCCCATTTTCAAATCAGAGTGTTTCCTTTTACCCCAATGGCCAGTAAGCCAGGTTGTTTGTGCTCTCGGGTCACAACAATCCATGGCTGCTAACAACTAAAAACAAAAGCAATTGCCATCAGGTCATCTCCAACTCATGGTGACCCCATGTGTCTCCGAGTAGAACTGTGCTCCACAGGGTTTTCAATGGCTGATTTGAACCTTCACTCTTTCTGTCAGCGGCTCAGCATATTAACCGTTTGCACCACCTTGAGACTCCAACTAAACGAAAAGCAAAAAGCAGCCATATTCAGAGAGCTAAGGGTGCCAAGTCCCCTTGGTTCAGTGAACAAAAGAAGTAAGCCAACTCCCTGGGGTTCTGTTCTATGTCTTTGATTCTCCTTCCATGGCGTTAAGAAGCATGTCCCAGTTTCCAGAGCCTACAGCAATCCTTAGCTCAGAAACTATGTTCAATAGTATTTTTTGAATAAATGGATACATCAGTCCAGAAAAGGTAGTCACTCATTCTGGATAACAGAGATTTGCTTGAGTTTTGTAAATTTCAAAATCCATTACATGGGGAAAATTTGATCAAGATCCTTTCATTATCGCGCTCCTAAAAGTTATTTCCTCTTTTCCAAGCATCTATGCATAGCATCTTGCACAATACTTGGTCCATAGTGGGCATTCAGTACATTTCTCAAATGAGCAAGCCACATTTAATGGCTGATGTTGATGTCATGCTGTAAATCCCTGAAATTTTTGAAGACCCAGAATACCAGGTAACATTAGGAACAGCTGAAATACCTAGGTGTGTGGGACTGGAAGAGGGAAGACTTAAGAAACTGTAACAGCTATTACAAGTGTTTGAAGTGCTGTTTTGTGAAATAGGGAGTAGAATCACTCGGTACAATGCCAGACAGCAGAACTTGGACCAATGACTGGTTGTTCATAGAACAGCAGTTTTCAGTCAAATATAAGAATGAACTCTGGACCCACTAGAGCTATCCTTATGCTCTAACATTTTATGTTGTAGTTCAAGTTGAGTGTGATATTTTCCAAGGATGTAGGAGAGAGGATTCTTGCCCTGGGAAGAGATTAGACTGGCTGACTGCTAAGGTACTTTCCAAGTCAAGGATAATAGGATTCTACTCTCTTAACAATTACAGTGGGAATCATCTTCTTTTTTGTTCCCAGCTAGGTATGAAGAGTTGAATTAATCACACTCCTTAGTTCTTAATTCACTCTAACCATTAGATCATGCAAGGCCCTTCATTTGTTTTATTTCATTTTTCTTGACTTCATGTCTAATCCCCATTCCCAATTTTCACTCCCACCAATAGAAACCAGTTCTATACTATCTGCTATATGTCCTTGGGTATGTATGTGCCCTTGCAGAATATATAGTGTTGGTTGTGAATATCTATCTTTTACATTTACATAAATGGTATTGCTGCAAAAGACCTCTTGTAAGGGTTAAAAAGCAAAGATGTCACTTTGGATTAAGGTGTGCCTGAGCCAAGCCATGTGTCTTAGTTATCTAGTGCTACTATAACAGAATTACCACAAGTAGATGGCTTTAAAAAACAAAAATTTATTCTCTCACAGTTTAGGAGGCCATAAGTCTGAATTCAGGGTGCCAGCTGCAGGGGAAGGCTTTCTCTCTCTGTCGGCTCTGGGAGAAGGTCCTTGTCATCAATCTTCCCTTGGTCTAGGAGCTTCTCAGCACAGGGGCCCCAGGTCCAAAGGATGCACTCCACTCCTGGCTCTTCTTGTTTGGTGTAATGAGGTCCCTCTCTCTCTGCTCACTTCTCTCTCCTTTTGTCTCTAAGATAAAAGGCGATGCAGGGCACACCCCAGGGAAACTCCTCTTACATCAGATCTAGGCTGTGACCTGAATAAGAGTGTTGCATCCCGCCCTAATCCTCTTTAACATAACCTAATCTTGCCTCATTAACCGCAGGCAAAGCCAAAAAACCAAACCCATTGCCGTTGAGTTGATTCTGACTCATAGTGACCCTATATAGGACAGATTAGAACTGCCCCATAGGGTTTCCAAGGAGCGCCTAGGTGGATTTGAACTGCCAACCTTTCAGTTAGCAGCCATAGCTCTTAACCACTATGCCACTAGGGTTTCCACAGGTAGAGATTAGGATTTACAACATACAGGACAATTTCATCAGATCACAAAATGGAGGACAACCACACAATACTGGGAATCGTGGCCTAGCCAAGTTGACACATATTTTGGGGGGACATAATTCAATCCATGACACCATGGTATTTTCAATCACCTCATATGCATGCAAAAGCTGGGCAATGAATAAGGAAGACTGAAGAAGAATTGATGCCTTTGACTTACAGTGCAGGCAAAGAATATTGGATATACCATGAACTGCCTTAGAAGAATGAACAAATCTGTCTTGGAAGTACAGCCAGAATGCTCCTTAGAAGCAAGGATGGCGAGATTTCATCTCATGTACTTTGGACATGTTATCAGGAGGGACCAATCCCTGAACAAGGACATCATGCTTGGTAGAGAGTCAGCGAAAAAGAGGAAGACCCTCAATGAGATGGATTGACATGGTGACTACACCAACGGGCTCAAACATAGCAATGATTTAGAGGATGGTGCAGGACTGGGCAGTGTTTCATTCTGTTGTACGTAGGGTCACTGTGAGTCGGAACCGAGTTGCAGCACCTAACAACAACAAATGGTATTGTACTATTGCTCCATTTCTATTATTACTTTTTGCACTCAACACTGGTTCTATATCATATTGTTGTATGTACAGCTATTTCAGTGCCTCTAACTGATGCATAGTATCATCCATCACATACCACATTTTGCTCATCCATTCCTGTACAGATAGACATCTAGATTGGTTCTAATTCCCTGCTGCCAGAAATAACACTGTGAAGAGCAACCTTGGACAAGTCTCCTTATGGAAGTATGAGAGAATTTCTCTGGATTATATGGGTTGGTCAGAAAGTGTGCTCTTACTTAATGATGATACAATCAATCACATCAAGTATTTTTGCCTTAAGCTTTGTGCTTTTTGGTTCTCATTTAAGAAGTCCTTCCCTACTCCAACATCATAAAAAAAATTATCCTACGTGTGGTGGGAAGGAGGAGGAAAAATATTTCATTATCTAAATATATTTTATGATTATTGGTTTGTTCAATTATTGTGTCAGTTTTGGCATTCTTTATTTTTCCAGTAGTTTATCCATAATTCAAAATTACTGGCATACAGTACATAATAGTTTTATTATTTTGAAAGCTGTGTTGTGACTTTAGTCGTATCTACTTTTTTCACTCTGTATCTTACTTGCATTTTCTTTTTTATTAATCAGTTTTCTCTCTCTTATTAATCCTTTGGAAGCCAGCTTTTTGTTTCGCCAATCTTTTGTTGCCGTTTTTTGTAGATTGTTATTCTCTAATTTAATTCTATCCTCTTTTTTGCGGGGAGGGCTTTCCTGGATTGTTTTCAATAGTCATTGTTTTCTAATAAATATATTTAAAACTATGAATTTACCTCACAGTATTACTTAAGCTATACCCCACAAATTTTAACATGAATTATTTTCATTGCTGTTCAGGTCAAAGTATTTTTAATTTCTGTAAAGATTTCATCTTCAATTCAAGGGTTATTTAGTAGTAAGTGATATGTTCTCAAACATATATTTTTAGTTCTCATTTTAGTATCGATTTCAAATTATGTAGCATGGGCCATGAACATTTCCTGGATTTATCAGACTGATAAATGGAATGGAAATAGAGCAGAGCCACGTGGTGGTGGGGAAGATGCCTGCCTTTAAGTTCTGAAAACCTAGGCCTTCAGGTCTGGTTTTTGCCTTTTATCGGTTGTAAGACTCAGGCAATCTGCTTAACTATTAGTCTCAGTTTACTCAACTGTAAATTGGGACTGAAATACTTACCTCACAAAATGTGAGGATTAATGAGATTATTTGTGTTAATCTCGTTGAATTTAGTAAGGTATTATCTGCACCTGAAAAGTGG